GTTGTAACGTGTGCTCGACATTTTATGTCTATAAATAAAGGTATTCTTCGTACTCATTTCGTACACTTTTTCGTGTTTGTAACCTAGCTTTTATTCTGTTTTTCGCCGAAACCAAATGAGATTTATATCCACTTTTCTTGTACGAGTTCAAAATGAATCTTAGCGCAGCTCAAGCTTCGAGAAACGTTAGTCACGCATTCGAAGATGGATCCACTTATGAGATGAATGCTAGATATGGGTCCCAAAAATTTAGTGCTGGCAATTTGAGTGTCGTCAACGAGTCTAGAAGAAGACCACCGGCCCATATTGACAACGAGGAATTAAGGAGTCTGCGGAATCTGGTCCACACAACTATTCGTGAACTTAGGTGTAAAGTAGGAAATAGCCATACGGCTGTGTTATAACTACTAAGTGCAATAAATAAAGTGCCGAATGAACTGACGCAAGTGCAGCTGATCGACCGCATCATTGTTGCTTCGTAATATACGATTGTCGTTTTTCAACCAAATTATAACTTGTGATGAAATGTGGATTTCGTGTGATAATCGAAAACGATCAAGCAAATGGGTAGATAAGAATACACCCCTGGACACACCACTAAGCCGAAATTGCAACAAAATTATGGTTATCATATGGTGGAATGCCAAAGGAGTGATCCATTATTCCTTCCGACAGTCAGGCGAAAATATAACAGCGGTTTTATTGCTGTGAAATTGACGTCATGCATGGGAAACTTATGAAAAAACAACCAGCATTGCTCAATCGGATCGGCGCAATATTACTGCATGACAACGCACGAGTAGATAAAGTTCCAATCACACGTGACAAAGTTCTCTACAATATGAAATTCTACCACATCCTCCATAGTCACCAGATATTTCAACGACCGACTATTACCTTTTTCGTAATTGTGAATTATTTTTAAGAGAAAAATATTCAATAACCAAAATGATATTATTAGACTTTGAATTGTTTAGTAACTCCAAGTGAAGATTTTTTCAAAAAGGCATATAGGACTTTCCCAATTGTTGGCAGAAGGTCGTAGACGCCAATGGAAGTTATTCCTATTGAATACAATATTGTGAAAAATTGCGCTCTTTGTGTTGTATTTTTATTCAACACCCAATTCATAGTTTCCAATCTATATATATAATATGAGGAAATTGTAAGAGGCTCAACTGTAGAAACACAAGCGGTCGGCTTTGTAACATTGAAGGGTGGGTTACTAGAATGCGAAGTTTGTTGCCTCATCGCGGGAAATAACACCACAGAGTGCATTCATTATATGACATAAACCTGACAGCATTCATCGCATCGGCTTAGACAAGAGAGTCAAAATCAAGTGAAGTAAATGGTACAAATGGAGCTCCTCAAATCGTTTTAGTACGACGAATCGTTCATATTACTCACATTCAATAAATGTATAAAAGCCGAATCGCCCACAGCAATTAGAGACAATGACACCAAGAATCATAAAAGAACGTTCTACAAACCATCCATCTGTGAGTAGTCGGAAAATGATTTGTTCTTCTGATTTGCAAAAGCACACAAGCTGACGACGTTTAGTGATAAGCTTACAGGCTTCCGCGTGGTCGCATAACCATGGACTTGAGTAGGCCGCAGGTCAACGTTCTCGGATAAAGGTCAACACCGAGTGTTGCAGCACAAGAGCGCATTGTAATTGTACTGGCGCCACGCTATCCTGGAGTCATGTGAAGTGATTTCTTATAACCAACTAAACGAGTGTACTGTATCAGCAGTCCCAGTTTCGCAATTCACGGGAGTGGTCCCGATGCATCAGGCTTAGATATGCATGGAGCCCAACATTCATTAATTACCACCTTGCTAACAACAGTTTGGGCCGACGTACCAAAAATAAGATCTGCCAGTCAAAGACAAATGATAAAAAAACGGAGGAGGCCCATCCTGGTGAGAACTTACCTTGCTGATGGACCATAAATTGTATATGGAACCAACAATGATCATGATATCGTTGGTGATGATTACCATGAACCAGAGTGGAATGAAATACCAAAAATATCCATATAACTCTATTGAGTACCAATGCTTGAAGAACAGGACAGTATCCTAAAAAAGAAACGGGAGAGAAAAAGGGTTGGTGGTATCTTGAAACAAGAAGCGGAACCTAAAGTGAATGGCTGTACGCATATTAAGCCCAGCCCAACACACGAATTGCAGTGTTGCGGCGATGTGTGAGATGGTTCGCGGTTTCAAACATACTGAACACATGAGCAAACATAACGAACAGCAACAGAGAAGCAATCGGAATACTGAGTGTTAATCAAACCTCAAGCAAGTTAGTATTGCCAGCTCGTGCTGCTCGAGCGCGAGCTTCAACAACCATCTCGGAAAACAATAACAACAGAGGTGCCCCGGATGCGGACGATGATACAACTCTTCCAATGAGTTAATAGCGGCGGTTCAAAGGTCAGACGGCTTTCCACCAATCCGAAAAACCCTAGACGAAAGTGCACCACTGACAACCTCCAACGGCCGTCTGGATTTTTCTGGATTCTTGGTAAAGTGGCTATCTGGCTTGTAAGCTACCGCGATAAACTCAAAAAAGTCAATCGAAAACCCCATTACTCACGGGTGAGGAGACAACTGTCAAATCGATGGAACCGGCGAAGCGTTATGAACATCGACAAGCACGAAGGAAGAGAAAGAAAGGCATCTTTAATATGTCGGCACGCAGTACCGACGCTTCTCTACCGCGCAACCACCACGCGTTGAAGGTGGGCTAAGGATACTGCGGGTGTTGCCCTGCCCCTACGCAGGCTCGAACCGCACCGTCAGATAACAAGACAAGCCCGCTACCTTAAGGCTACGGACCAACAAGCACGACGGTGTATGCAATCAAGATGGCCAATCATACAGATGGACCAACGGTCACGGTTGAATAGGAGCATTGGGAGGCTGCTGTCTTGCTTATGAGTCCATGAGACAAAGAGCACCTGAAAGCCTGGGAGGAGTGAAGCAATGGCTAATGCCAAACGCTAACAGAGGGGAAGCGGAAGTTGAAAGCGTTCATGTAAGATAGCCCCCACATTTGATAGACGCCAGTTGCACTCTCAGCGTGGTAAGTAAAGTTAGAGGGTGCATCTCATAGGGAGATCAGTAAAAGATGACGTTCACGGTGGAAAAGAAGTTCCGATAAAGAGTACTTACCACTACTTTGCAACTCAACTCAACACAAAACAATGGCAGCATGCCCAAGACAGAAGTGTGACAGCAGATTGCTGTAACAGTATAATTGAGCCAAGTCCGATGCAGGTTCGGAATAAAACTGAGTTAGTTTATGGTTCCAATGGTAGTAGATAGTATACCTGCAACCAGAATCGATGGCATGGGAGTTCTGGAGAAGTTGCAAATAGAATATCATGCTTTGCTTCGTGGAACAGCAGTGACTAATACAGGGCGTTTAATTAATTGCGTCCGAAAGTAAGAGCGGCTGCGCTCATGTGCCAGCCTACCCCGGCTGACGCTGAGGGCAATAGTTGCATTCATGAAGAAATTGGTGTACTGTCTAATGGTGCCGATAGTGCGTCGAGGCAGACTGAAAGCTAACATCATTGTCAAACCAAGCATTCGATTTTATGCACCCGTGAAGGGTGAGATTTCAGCTGTAGCACACACGCGATCGAAACGGTAAAACGAATAAAACTGTGATCTTAGAAAGTGCTCTTCGCATTATGATTCCCCTTAGCAGCGAAAGCAGCCTAATGAAAACTTCCGGGTTTGCTAGAAGCCAGTTATGAGGATATAACAGCTTTTTTCGCGATTGTCTTTTGCCATATATTGTGGTAGCAACCGACGCCCATCGGTCATTGTATAGAGCCAGGCTGTTCTTCTCAAATGCAAGAACAGGGAGCTACTAGCCACTTCGCAGGAATCCCCTTTGTTAGCGCTTTCAACTGCTTGAGAGCCGACTACCAATCAATCGAAGCAGGACATGTCCAATGCGGCTTCCCTGTTTGGCTAACATTCCCTTCTCACAGCCGAACGGCTCGGTTCTCTTCATGGGCCCAGCGATCGAAGCATGACAGGCCCAGTGCGGCCCCGCTGTTTGGCTAACACTCCCTTCTCACAGCCGAATGGCTCACTTCCCTTGGTGTGCCCCGTGAGCGTAGACACACAGGTCCCGTTTTTGGGTCCCATCTCACCCCTGTGGACACGTTCGGCAAAGCAGTCTGCGCCATTGGACAGTTGGCAATTCGGCGTGCCGGGGTAGGCCAGCACGTGAGCACAGCCGTTCTTAGTTTCGGACGTAATTAATAAAACACACTGTAGTTCACCGAGAGACAGTAGTCCGAAATCTCTGTCGCCAGGCACGGAATCAAGCAACATTCCATTAAAGTAGTCGAAACACATGGCGATAAACCACACCAGTATTTCTAAAGATGCTGACACGATTGCCAAAATTGGGGTCGAAAATAACAGACAATGGAACTAAGAAAAGACTGGCCAATCGCATCTGTATTCGATTTACTGTCTCATAGGAACACAAAAAAGACACGAAGTAGGTACTAGACGCGGGCACATTCAACGGGCCACCTTGGTGAGGATCAGCAAGAGAGCAATTCGATTAAATCCAATTCAGTTTCTTGAACTAATGGGTGCATATATTGTGCAAAATATTAAAGAAAGCTACATAAACAGTCGATACAGAGTGAAAAGGAATAGACAACGATAAGCGAACACTCCCATATAGATCGCAAAACCTGATTATCCGGGGCTGCGCTAGAGGCTGGCAATTTTGAAAAAGCACTCAAACTGTCACGCGAGATAGGATTATAGACATACCTGTGATTCGAGAAAATCTTCAACATGTGGTGCATCGCTGTGCCTTAGTTATATAAACGGAAAGGACTGCATATTGGTCCGATGTATGCTCGTATTTTACAAACAGTCTGGCCGACATCTTTATATCTAAAAGCTGAGGACAGATCAGCCACCGATCTGATCGGAGTGACTTCATAGACCGACTGCTCGCTGATACGAAAGCATAGTATATCACGGGTTTGAAAGCCGGAGATCACCATATCGGTGGAAAGGCTAAGGCACGCGGTAAACCCCGATACCGCCTGCTGCTTTAGCATAATGAGGAAAGATGGATGCAGAGGACGAATGCGTTAACGGCATTCAGTATAACACACTGGCGAAGTAGGAAGCTCTGTGCAACTTCACGATTGTAACACCGATGCGGCATCCCTTCTCCACACAGAGAGATTAGTATATAGTTCGGAAAGCGCCCAATGTCAAATTAGAATGTGTTAGATTAGGTGTCGTTTGCGCCAGAGAAAATGACGATGATAGCAAGACGTCATCCTACAAAACAGACACGACCAGTACACTGCAGCTCCTAACCTGCCGGACGCGACGATGTGTAGGTCTGATAAGGTCAGGGTATTTAGACAGAAACAACAAAGGGAAGAACTTACTTTCCACATACAGAAGTTTCGCACCACAGAGCGGATACACAGAATGAGCGAGATAACCCCGAGTAAAAGAGCAGTAACCTGCAGCAGTATAATCGAGATGCGGCGCATCGAAAACGAATGCCAAGTCACGGTACGATTAGGTTGTCCGGTATCGCTGAATTGGGACCAGAACAGCTGCAAGCGTTTAATTTGTAGATCTGAATGGTCGGGAGATAGGGCCGCGAGTTCTTCGGTTGATACAGCAATATCATCTAAATTGGTACATGGTGCCACGGCGTAAGGAGCATGTAGGTGGATAGCGAGCAAGCCAGCTTGATGCGATTTCTCCATATTTATCTGATGTGAGGGAAAAGAATGACCAGGCTATAGAACAGTAAATAGGCGACACTACGATGAAACCCCTAAGCGTCCTTCGTACATTGAAGCAAAGCAAATTAGTCGATTTAGCAGACTTCTCGACGAGGGTACGGGAAAGAATAAGCGGGTGTTGTTGTAGTCGATGTCACAGTACAATGAAAACTTCTGACAGGCGGGAGTCATACGTTTACGCACCTGAAGTCAAATCAGGAAGCAACCGTGATTTATCAGTTGATGCATTTTGAAATGGTTACAGCATGTTTGAACTGTAATAAGCAATCTCAGTTGTGGCTACGAGTAACTAACGTAACCGATGACTATCCATAGTTGAGTTTTCGGAGCTAGTGGCTCCGAACACTGCACTGTATCCAATGGCCTGAGAAACAAGATAACAGTCGTCAAGCTAGATTCCCAGCTCCGGTTTTTTCTACCTGGAATTCAAACCAGGATGAAATCGGTCGTGAGAGGTGCAGTGTTGAGAAGGAGCATTACCAAAACATCCACTTCGAAGGTGATCCCGGTGATCAGGATGATAGGTTTATTTCCCAGCAAATCGTGATCTCCATGGAAGAATGTGTCAGCTGTGGTGTCGCTGGTGGCTTCAGCAAAAGTGACACAGCATTCACAACGACATTATCGGTAAGTAAGCTGGTAGTCCTGCCAACCAAACGTGACGCACAGTATGAATTGTCTTCACAAATGAAATGCGACAACTTCCCACACAAAAGCGTTATCTCTCCAGTTATTCAGCCACAGCATAAAGAGGTACTTTGTCACTTGTCCTGACGTTACACCGGTAAGACGGTTCTTCAAAACCATCAAATGATGAGAATTCTCCGCAAACAACACCACGAGATACTGATTGATGTATTCCTTAACTGTTTTTGGGCATCCAATATGAAACCTTTACGGGGTATATAAATTTTTGATTCAACTTGTGTTGCCTCGTAGAGACGATCTATTTAGAGCCACACAAGTTTGATTCGTTGTCGCATAAACAAATTCGAAGAAAAAGAAGAACGAGTGTACAGGTGCTAAAAGACTACAGAGCTTGAAAGTCTAACTTCATTAATACAAGCTGAGATAGCGATGTCAATCAAATTGCACATCGACGCCGTTTCAGATAACCGTCACTACCATAATTAATGGAAGCTTCCGAGATATCATCAACATCAGACACGTAAGCTAGAAGTGGGGAACACCCCAGCTACTGTGCTGCAATACAAAGAAAAAAGGAGAGAGAAAAACGAATTCAACTGGGGCAAGCCGGCTGAGCTACCGGTAACGGATGGGCATCGTTCCGGTAAACTACCAGCCGGCTACAGTGCATCAAAAAAAATTACTATGCAAAATTGTATAAGGTTAAATAATAAGATCGTGGTTGGAGGGGGAGGCTAAGAGGGATAGGTTGGGACAAAGAAACTCGCAGCACGAACGCCACTGAGGTCGGCTCCTAGCCATATCAGCAAGTGTGTCCAACCAAACGTGTTCATCGTCTTTCGGACCCCAACCAGGGAGCCGAGAAGCTCCAACCGTGGCCAGCTCCGAAATGAGGGCCTTCATTCCTCTCGACCAAGTCATCGCTTGGCCACCTCTCTTCTTCCATCCACACTCCCGGCGCGCAAAACAACACACGTCGCGAGAGTCGGTGGGCTGGCATGCGTAACACGTGGCCGAGCCATCGGAGCCTGGTGCGTGAAATAACGGTGCTGAGCGGTTCAGTTCCTTTTCCTGTGCCATAAACAAGGTGTCGAACACGCTCGTTGCTCACGCGGTGTTCCCACCAGATGTGAGCTAAATTACGAAGGCACCGGTGGTCGAACGTAACTAGCCACTTCAGGTCCGCTGCTTTAAGCGGCCAGGTTTCACAACCGTACAATAGGGTCGAACGTACTGCTGCATTGTACACTCTATCCTTCAGGACAAGAGTGATGTCGCGCCGCCGCCATAAGTGGCGAAGGTTAGCAAAAGCGCCCCGAGCTTTTGCTATACGGTTCGTGATCTCATCTTCAATCCCACGGGCGCTGATACGACTTCCCAGGTAGTTGAATTTTTGAACGACTTCTAGCTGATCCCCACCAACGGTCAGCGTAGCGGGCGGTCCAGACCAATCTTGGAGGAACGCTTTGCACTTCGAGGGTGCGAAGCAAAGCCCGAAATGACGGACAGCTAGTGCTAATCTGTCCAGTGCAGCGTGGCACATTTGTGAGCTGTCACAGATTAGGGCAATATCATCAGCATACTCTAAGTCAAGAAGTCGTTCTACTAAGAGTAGCTCCACACCTTCTAAGTCGTGTCCTGTGAACGCGATTTCCATGACTTCGTCAACAGCGAAGTTGAAGAGGAAAGGTGACAGCGGGCATCCTTGTCTCACGCCGCTGGAGATATTAAAGGGCGACGACAACTTGCCGTAAGCCCTCACTCTGCTCGACCTACGACCATATAATGGTCGGATAATATTCACATATTTCTCGGGCACACCTTTCCTGAGTAGACAGTCCCAAAGTGCAAGTCTATCCACCGAATCGAATGCACCTTTGATATCGAGGAACACAACAAGGGTGGGCCGCCAATATATGTGACGGTGCTCCAACAACTGACGCAAGGTGAAGATGTGGTCAATGCAGCCACGACCTCGACGAAATCCAGCTTGCTCTTCACGAATCTGGCTTTCACGAGTGCCAGTCAGTCTGTGAAGGATGACAGAGGCAAGCAATTTGGAGGCGATGGAGATCAGACTGATTCCTCTATGGCTACCGCATTCCGATCGTGAGCCTCCTTTGAAAATTGGGACTATGACGGAGCGGCTCCAATCGGTTGGGACAGTTTCCTGCTCCCACAGTTTCACTAGTAACTCGTGTAAATCATCCATAAGAGCAGGTCCCACGAATTTGAAGAGGGCTGGAGGAAGATCATCTGGTCCCGCGGCTTTATTTAACTTCAGCAATCCGATCTCACGTTCGACTTTTGAGCGAGAGGGTGGATCCAAAGGGACAACCCACGGAGCGGGGCTATCACTGGCCGGCGAGAAATCTAAGAATTCCGGCCGATTAAATTGCCTCAGCCCAACGCTCTAAGTGTTTTGATAAGTTGTGGATAGGCTATCCACTCTCGTCACAAATTGTTTCACTAACACCAGCTCTCCTGCTGCCCGTTTCCCGTATAAGACGGAATAACTCACGATGGTTACCAAGGGCAGCAGCCATTTCCATCTCTGTTGCACGATTAGACCACTAGGATTCGCGGTCTCTCTTCAGGCTAGCACGGAATTTTGCCCGGAGCACTTTGCGAGTTGCATTGTGTTCGCTTCCAGCCAGCATATGCCGGCGAGCATCTATAAGTTCCAGAGACTGTGAAGAGACCCAATGTCCATGTTGGCGATAAGACACACCACATGAGGATTTTCCTGCTGCTAATAAGGTCTGGTGAATATGAGACCAGTGAGCTTCAATTGCATCCAGTGAGCGTTTATCCAACTCGCATGACATCGTACTTTGATAGGCATTCAGAACAGCTGGCTTCGCCAGTTGGCTGGTGTCAATGCGTTCACAACGTCGTCGTGGGCGTCCGCCAAAACGCATCCGCAGGTCAGCACATACAAGTACATGATCGGTGTCGACACCCGTGCTCCAAATCGAGCGACAGTTCTGGACGCAGCCTCTCCATCGGTAACTTATCGCAATGTGATCGATTTGCGTCCATAGCTGGTGGGCGCCAAGTCACCCTTCGGCGGGTGCTGTGTCTGAAATTAGTGCTCGCAAGAAATAAGCGAGCATTCTCACACAAATGAAGTGACCGCTCACCGTTATCATTACGGGAGCCTATACCATGTTGGTCGCCCAGATGCAGCTCATCTGTGGATAATTTTCCAACTTGAGCGTTCAGATCCCCAGCCCGCACTACAGTGTCCGAGCTTCTTCTGTGTCTAAGGAGCTCGTTCAGTCGACGATAGAAGTCGTCTTTTACCGAGTCATCGCTACGGTTTGTCGGTGCATAGGCAGCGATAACGAATACACACCTTTTAGTTCCACGCGACTTCGAAGTTTTGAACGAGCCAGCCAATTGGACCGCACACATCCGGCTACTGATTGGAATCCAATCAACCAGAGCAGTTTCAGCCCGGGGACTCAGGGCAATACCAACACCGGCTTGGCCGGTGCTCGAAGCTGCCTCGTCACCGGATAGGCGCAACGAGAAAGTGCTGCTAGTGTCACCTGAAGGGGACCGAAGTGAGCACAAAACTCGAGTCTTGCAGACGGGTCTCCGATAAGCAGCATATATCGATCGATATGGTCTCTAATGTTCGAGCAAGTGCTGCCTGTTGACCGATCTGAAGCAATGTGCGAACATTGAGGCATGCCAATCTGAAGGAGGATCGAGGGCTCCAAGTGGAAGCCGATGAACTGGAATGGGCCGCTTGCTTGGACATGGGCCTGTTGACAGGGCAGGAATGACGCTCCGCGTTCACATGTGAGTTGAAACTAAAAGGCAAGCGACTATTGAAGCAAGGTGGGGGAAGGCCGAGAATTGGGGGGTTGAAAACAGGGGGATAAAAGTGAAGCTGGAACGGGATGATAAGGGTGAAAAAGCGCAAGAGATGGAATAAGAAGACGGGAAGGCTTGAGCAGTAGCATCCAAACCCCTATCCACCCTGCTCGATGCAGCAGATGGGGCACCGTTGATTATCCTCTGCGGTGGCCAGAGCATCAGAAATTTGTTTGAAGTGTGATTCATTGTATTGCGTGGGCAGGATACTGTCAGGTTGCCAAGGCCTAGACAGGAGAACGATTAGGGTTCTCAACCAAAGCCTTTGGTTCAAAAACCTGACCGCAAGGCAGCGGGTTTGACACTGGGCTACAAGGAGTCCGTTTTAAGGAATAAGGAGCCACCCTCATTCCAACCCCCAACCTGGAGGACCAGGAGGCTGAGTTTGTCTGGCCTCTAACCATTGACCAATCTGGTATGAGTGGCTTTGAAGG